AGACAGAGTCTCACTCTGTCACCCAGGCTGGAGTGCAGTGGTACGATCTTGGCTCACTGCAACCTCCATTTCCTGGGCTCAATCTTTTCCCCTGCCTCAGCCTCAAGGGTAGCTGGGATTACAGACGTGTGCCACCATGCCTGGATGACTTTTGTATTTTTAGTAGAGAAGTGTTTCCACCATGGTGGTCAGGCTGGTCTCAAACCCTGACCGTGAGTGATCCACCTGCCTCAGCCTCCAAAGCTGCTGGGATTACAGGCGTGACCCACCACCCTCAGCCTGATTTGTTTGTTTTTAAATGGGAGAGATGTGTTTAAATCCCTCTGAAGGGAAGAGAAAGAACAATTGGGGCTACAGTGATGGGGCAGGAGGGGAATGAATGATGACTGTCACTAACAACCCCAAGGACCATGGACAATGGATTTACTGCCGCTTCCTCCTCTGTAAAGTGGAAGTAATAGCAGGACCTGACTCGTTGGGCTGATGTGAGGAGGGAACCAGCCAGTGCGTACGTGTACATTACCCAGGGCACAGTGATAAGCTACAAGAAATGTTATTCCGGTTATCCATCTCCCCCATGGCTTCTAAAAGGAGCAAGTCTAGGTGTGCAGGACCCCACCATCTGCAAGGTTTCCCAGCTTGGAAGGTGGCCCTGGTGATCTGGAAGCATCTGGAATTATTATTATTTTTGAGACAGAGTCTTGCTCTGTCACCAAGGCTGGAGTGCAGTGGCACGATCTTGGCTCACTGCAACCTCTGCCTCCTGGGTTCAAGCGATTCTCCTGCCTCAGTCTCCTGAGTAACTGGGATTACAAGCGTGCACCACCACGCCTGGCTAATTTTTGTATTTTTAATAGAGACGGGGTTTCACCATGTTAGCCAGGCTGGTTTTGAGCTCCTAACCTCAAGTGATCCCCCCACCTCAGCCTCCCAAAGTGCTGGGATTACAGGCATGAGCCACAGCACCTGGCCTTGACCCACATTTTTTTATGGGGAAGAGAAGATGGTGGGCCCTTTGCAGTCTGAGTTTTCACTGCACACGAGAGCGGGAAGGGTCTGTGGTAGGTGGAATTGGGTCCTCCCCAAATGCATGCCTCTCTAGAGC